AAAGATAAGTTCTCTGCCTTCAAGGAGCTTACAGTAAAAATTTTAGTGAAAAAAGTGCCAAGGTTTGTTAGAGAATCTTATGCTGCATTGTGGTGAAGGAAAGTACAGTATTTTTTGCAAATTGCCAGGGAAGGAGACCAGGTAGCTCATGCTCAAGAGACATGAACCCCCCCATGGCTTTTAGGAAAGAATTTTTAAAGGCAACATTAGGAGTGAGGGTTGCCGGATTCCTGATCAGCTTCTAGACTTTCTTCTGATTGGTTGGTTGTGTGGTAACAAGGTGATTTTTGGCAGGGGTGTAGGGGGCAGAGTCTCAGTTACCAGTTTTCTGGCTTCAACTAGTCTGCAGTTTGTATGCTAGTGGTCCGTACAGTTGACTTTTTCTACCTAGTAGGGGTTTTAGTATCTGCAGCACAACTCAAGGATATGATTTAGGATATTATCTATAGCCCTTGAGGAGAAACTAAAGGTCCTTAACATTGTTTTATGGCTGAACTATTATTATTTTGTCTTGCTTAATTTGTTTTCCTTTGTTTCTGCATTTTCTCATTTCTCTGATTAAATTTGCTCTTTGGAACTTGAAGAAGGCCTAGGAGTCTAAAATCTTTTTACATACAGTCAGAAGAAATAGGATCTGCCCTGGGAAGGCCCCACAGGGTCCTGCTTGGTTACAGAATAAGGAAATAGTTAGCTTTTCCTTTTCCTTACACAAACCGTGTCCATTCTACCTTGGTTTATGCTTCAGATAGTGAACATATTTTGAATTCTTTAACAAGAAAGATATCTGTAAATTCAAGGTAATGTAATAGGTTGCTATAGGCCCACTATGTGTGGAATATCACAGTGCTAAGCTTGAAGACAGTGCGTTGTTCCACTGCACCTCTGCAAAGCTGTATGAATCTCTTGATATTGAAGAAGGGTATTTTGCTTGTCAGATTGGAAATCTTCAATGTACTAAAAAAAAATTTTAGGAATATTAGTAGTTTTTCCAGTTTGAGTTCATTTTCCTAAATTCATTTTGGTAATTAGGACTAACCAATACTACTAATCTGTTGTGAGAGGTCTTTGAGGGGATGGAAAGGTAGTATTTCACTATCTTTATTCTAAAGGAAAACTGATGGTTGTGGAGAGACAAAATAGAGAAGTGAAAAGATACACTGGTACCTGAAATAAAATGTATTGGAATTTGGGTTTGGAATTGTGGACTGAATGCTGAAGGAAGGCTCATTGGATGGAATTAAATAAAATCAAACAGAAGAGACCATTTTGGGGCAGGACAGTGCTGAGAAAATATTCAAAGCATAGTGAACAGTGCACACTGGCCTCATTATGAGATGATTATGAGGAATCCTTTGAGCATTTTTTTTCCCATTTTTCGTTTGTTCATTCCTTTTTCTTTTAGTTTTATTGAGATATAATTGGAGACAACACTGTGTAAGTGTAAGGTATACAGCATGATTGGACTTATATACATGGTAAAATGATTACTACAATAAGTTTAGTGAATATCCATTGTCTCATATAGGTACAAAATAAAGGCAAAAAAATTCTTTTTTTGTGATGAGAACTCTTAGGATTTACTCTTAACAACTTTTATATATAACATACAGCAGTGTTAACTACATTAATTATGTACCCTACATCCCCACTACTTATTTTATAACTAGAGGTTTATACATTTTGACCACTTTCTTCTAGTTCTCCCTCTCCCCACCCCTTGCCTCTTAACCAGAAATCTGATCTATTTTCCTATGAGTTTGAGCATTTTTAGAATAAGAATGCTCTGAAAAACATAATTTAGTTTTCATATATATGCAGGATTGTTAGAAAAGAGGAAACATATAGGAAAGGCATGGAGATCATTTTGAAGGCCACTTGATAATAGGCCCAGGCATGTGGTAATGAAGGATTGAATTGGTGGGCATAAATGAGAATGGAAAGGAAGTGTCTGATGGAACCATGGTTGGGGAAGCAGAATTTGAAGGATTTGGAGACTTTCAATTTGGGGAAAAGGAAGGAGAGGCAAGAGTAGACTCTAGGGGTTTGAATTTGGGTGACAGAATGTTGGTACTGTTGACTAAAATGGTGAAGTAAA